GCGTGTTTGTCTTTTCCCTGCAGGCGTCGCTCCTCTCACGGCTGCTTGTGTTGATGCTGTGTGTCGTCTCTTCTCTCTGCCAGGACGAATATTCTGGATACCACTCAGGTCAGAGGTGCCTCGTAATAGAACATCAGATTGTTACTGGTCATAACTACACATTTAGATCAACTGTGTTTCATCAAATCACACTTATCCAGATTGTTTTCTCCTGACTAGATCCTTGCTTGTGTTGTATCTGCTCTCAGATGTACGTCGCTTTGGATAAAAGCTAAATGAAATTGTAGAATTGTAATATTTGGCTCACAGCTTGTAAAACAGCTGGTTATTCCTGCTTAACAGAACAGCCAGAACAAGCAGATGATTCATAATTAGAAAATTGCCGCATTATTTATTTTAAAACTTTGGTGTGTTTGGTAGTAAAAAAAAACAAACAAAAAAGAACATTAACTGCTCTAATTATCTCAGCTGCTGTTACCAGTAAATGTGGATTTATAATTCTCGCCATCTATCTGAAATAAAGTCAGTCCTTCCTAAGCACCGTTAACTTTTTCAGTCTCTTTTACAGTTATTTTTTCTTTACCTTTTGTGAACAGTGTTTTTACTCTTTGTACTACAAGTATAATTTAGTTAGGCCTAAACAAAGGGCTCGTCCGGGATTTGAACCCGGGACCTCTCGCACCCGAAGCGAGAATCATACCCCTAGACCAACGAGCCCCTGACAGGATGTGAAACCCTTCGACTCAGCTCTGACATGCCGTCTGTGTATTTGCATATCCTTTCAGGTGAGGACCACACCTTTGACGAGTCGTCCTTAGTCGACCACTATGACACCTTAGCCTCTCCTCAACCAGGTGAGACCAGCGTCCCTCATTCTTCATCCTTCTGACTTTTTACACATGACCAGCAGCGGCTGTTTTTATTCCCCAAACCAGTATAAACTCTACCAGAAATCACAGACCTCCAAACTAAAAACTAGGACCATTAAGATGAACCATTAAGTCCCAGGTTCTTAAATAATGTTTCCTCAGAATATCCACCAGAGCCAACTCACAGCTATGATGACGACCAGCTCCTGGAGGAGGGGGACTACGACTCCTACGGTCCAGCTCCCACCCAGGTTACCATGATTACCGAGGACGCCTTTCCCTACGCCACCACCACCGAGTCCCACTACGCCAAGGAGGACAAAGAGATAATGCAGGTGGGACAACGGAGGGCTGGTGGTCTTTACTGCTATCAGAGCAGCGCTGACATCAAGTTTATTTTCTCAGTCCATTCAGCAGCTTTTCTGTGGCTCACATGGTCTTCATCAGCAAAAAGAGATACCCAGTTTTCATGAAATTATACGTTTGATGTTAATTTCTGTTTAATCCAAGCAAAAGTGAGGAAAAATAAATATTTGACAATCCCATGACAACTGGCCACACTGTGAAGGCCATCTGATGAGAGCTGAAGATCCCAGATGAGATTTTTTTTGTGACTACTGCGACTTTCCAGCATAAAGAATTTATGTTGAACTTTATTTTAACTTCACCAAAATAAATATGGATATGAAGCTGATATGAATCATGAATTTGAAGTCACTTAAGAAGTCTCTCTATGTAGGATTTGTATGCAGCTCAGCTTCATGTCGTGGGTCAGATGCTTTTTCAAACCTTTATTTATACCTGAAGTAGGTTCATTTGATGTTATCACTAGGAGTCATCGTTTTCAAACCTTGAACAAATAAGCTTAGAAGAATTCCCAACCTTAAACAGCTTTACATACTTTAGATGAAACCTGCCACCGGATCAGACATTTTAATGGTTATAAAAGTATAATTACAACATGAATGGACCTATTGTGTCATTTCTGTCATTTGTCTTATAATTTATCTTTACTTACTACAATATTGCCGTTGTGTTGTTGCTAGTACAAGAATTTCCCTGAGGTACTCTACCAAAGGGATCAATAAAGTTCGATCTAATCTAATCTAATCTAATCTAATCTAATCTAATCTAATATAATATAATATAATCTAATATAATATAATCTTATAATGAAAATCAGGTTTGGTTTTGTAATATATATAATATATAATCCAACATGTAACTCAAACCTAAATGTTTAACTAAAGATAAATGAGTTCTGCCGTTTTCAGAGGAGCATCCACAGATCGTCTAGAACATGTGTGTCAAACTCAATTTCAATTTACAGTGAAACAGCAAATGTAACATCAAGTTTAGTTCTAACTTTCACTTTTAGGAACAAAATCAGAACACTTACATGCTAAAAATCACTTTAGGCTTCACAATATCTTCCGTGTTTTTGTCTTTCTGTCTTTGTAGAGGTTCTATATTTCAACCACAAGTGGGTAAACACTGAAAACATGACCTCAGCAGATATTTCATGCTCCCCGTGGTGTAATAATATTTGTTTATGTTGTGCCTCAGCTGCCATATGGACCCGAAACCGACACCTCAGAGGAATCGGGGGGCGATGCGGGGCTCGGGGAGGAGGGGCCGACGGAGTGTGATTGTGAACCTGGTGAGCCCGGATTCGCTGGCTTCGCAGGACCGAAGGTAACAATTCAATTTGTCCCATCAATGTCGCTTTATTGTGAAGTGCTGTCCTGCCAACAGTGCTGATGAAATACATAAAGACCTTCATAGTCCTTTCACATCCTAAAACATTTGTGTGCTGGAAACAAACGTTCAAATTGTGACCCCACAGTTTGCACAAACATAGCTATGAGCTGTCTATATGCACCCACCAGGAACTGCCTAATAAATACTGTAGATTTGTCTTGGTTTGCAGTATATCGTTTGCTTAATGTGTATTTTTTCTCTCTGTCAGGGATCCAGAGGCCTGCAGGGTAAAACCGGTGAGCCGGGAATTCAAGGCAGAGAAGTGAGAGTCTCAACACTAACACAGAATGTTTTATTATTAAAGTGAGACTGAAACTGTACCAGGACGTCCAGCTCTGTGTATGTTTAATTATTGGTTTTATTTGTGTGCATTGTGTTTTTAGGGGTATAAAGGAACCAAAGGAGTTTCGGGAAGAGGAGGAGACGCCGGACCAGTAGTGAGTAAATCATGTCATAACAATGTTATAACGATGTTGTAACAGAAACTGAAAGTAAAGCTGGAACTAGGGGGAAAAATGAAGTGAAACTGAAAGTGCAGAAAATAAAGGGAAGGGAAAGTCTGTCAAAGAAGTGAAAATAGAAGTAAAAGCAAGGAAGAGGCAGGTTGTTTCCAGATTTAAATGTTTTGTTTTTATGGCTTAAAGAGTAAAAAAAGCTCGATTTAAATAGACATTCTCATCAATAGGAATGAAACCAACTTTGATTTAGTGTCTCTTTGTAATGTTAGCGATGTTTCCCATATTTTGACACTGGAGACGTTTACATGAGAGACAATATGCATTAAATGGCTTATTTAATTTATTTTAATCAATTTATGATTTTAATACGATGCTAGGGACAAATATCAGATATTAGTCTTTTCAAAACTCTAAACTTGCTGCATGAGTTGCTTGCTTGCTGTACCTTTTTCCCCTGTTAGCAGAATGTGTTTGAACCTTTGACCTCTTCTTGCAGGGTGACGCTGGGTCTGAAGGAGACGAAGGAGCTTCTGGTTTCTCAGGAGCCATGGTGAGTAAAGCAGCCCGAGCCAACAGTGGAGGTTCACGCTCAGTGTTTACATTATATTCTGAATGTTAGAAAATACAAATTGAATTATATAAATAAGCAGTCTATCATGTTTGTTAAACTTGAGATTTAGTCAGTATATTATTAGGCTTCTTAAAGTGAATTATATGGTGACATTTGAAGCATTTATAAAATAATCAGCTTATTAATTGAATCCTTCAGGGAGAACCTGGACTGATAGGAGGCCGAGGTGAACTCGGAGAGCTGGGTCTAAAGGTAAATTCGCTGCTATAAGTTCTGCTCCTGTCTTTTCTACAACTTTTGTAATAAAATAAAAGTCTTGTTTGATTGATTTTTATTTACTTGATAATAGCTCACATTTTTAAAAGTTGTTATGAAATTAATAATTTAAGCAGTAAAATGGTTGTTTATGCTGTGAAAGAACTCTTTCCCAGATTTGATACCACATTGTTTTCCTCTACTTTCCTCACCACCTACTGTTTAGCCCTTCAGTTCTCTTACAGCATCATAAGCAGCTTGACTGGAGAATATATTTTCTTCTCAACAGGGTGACGTCGGTATGGAGGGACCCCGTGGAGGAGTCGGACCTCCTGGTGAGACTGTAAGGAAACGGCACAGAATAACACAAACTATCACTGAGACTGCTCAGACAATCACATAAACCATGAAGAGATTTTTTAACCCTTGTTTAACATTATCGTTTAGGTATAACTGGATCATTTTGGTTTTCTTGAAATAGAAAATTAAAAATGGTGCCGTCTCGAAAAAAGGGAGATTAAGAAAAGTAACAGCAACCGTGGCCTTCCTAGTTAGTTAAATCAAAACTGACTTTTTTTATTTCTCAGTCACTCCAGCTTTATTTATCAAGCAAACAAATCAATGCAAGTGTTTTACATGCAAGTGACAAAACATAAAAAGATAAAAATAGATTTAGAGAGTAGTGCGTACCAAACAACCACAGTTGGGTCGTATAGATCAGTGGTTCTTAAACTTTTTGAGCCACGACCCCCCAGTTTAAATTTTTAATACGGCATGAGTTCATCAAGTTTATCTTTATCTGATCAAAGAACGTTCTCCCAATGTTCATCCTTCTTCTTTTCATGTTCTTCAGCAAAGTTTCCTCTTCTAGTTTTAAACACCAACAAGGGTGTTTTCTTGTCCTCCGTCCAAAGAGGTTGATGTTATAAACTGGTTCCTTCACAGAAACTCTGATTTCCATTAATAACCCTCTGAAGCAGCTGCTGTTTGTTTTGCCACAGTTAGATTGTCAAAGCAATTCACTGTCTGTGGAGTTGTTTTAGTTGGACGACCATGATTCTGTCAGAGTCTCGTCTCACCTCCTGAAGGTCAACGAGGACTCGATAGCCTCCTCATCATTTCAATAACATTGTTGTTCATGCATTAATACGTTAAAAATTAATGTGTTAATTCCACAGACTCATCTCTTCACATTAACACGTTAATTTTCTTTTGAATAAATGAATGATTTTAATTTATTTTGAACAAATGAAAGGGAAAAAAATACAAAAACAAAAGAAAATAATCTTAAAAAGAGCAAAAAAGAATAATAATATCGCACAATCAAATGATAATATTAACAAGTCCAAAAAAGGAGTGGGGAAGAAGTGGACACTTTTAATTTTGACAGCCCTAATACACATTTATTTGATAAATGTAGGCTTTATTTAATTTTATTTTTTTTGGATGATCTGGCGACCCCCTGAAATTATCTTGGGACCCTCATGGGAGTCCCGACCCCCAGTTTGAGAACCACTGGTACAGATAACCGATAATACAACAATGAAAGAGACCAAATAAATCAAATTATGAAATGAAATAAAGAGAAAAAGGTAGCAAGGAGTAAATATGTACAGGCAGATGCAGGCGAAGTAAGCGAGCAGTAATCATGTGCCGCCCTGTAAAGAGGTCAGTGGTCCATAGTGGCTGTTGTTGTGCCGATACCTGGTTGGAAATCACCCAGAGTTTGTGCTCCGCCACCAGTTACGTTGGTGGTGCTTTCATATCACCAACAAACAGATGGAACAATGACGCAGGAAGAGAGGCTCATGGTGAATTTGGGGGTTTACCTTTCGTCAGTTGCTGTAACCGTTAAACATTAGGACTGAAAAGTAATTATACGTTTGATTTAAGTTTAGAACTTTCATTAAACTGATTTCATGAATTTGAATTTACTTTGACTTTCGATCACCAGCAGAACCCTTTGTTTCTAACGCTCATAGATTGTGTTTCAAATAGTAATACTTCATCCCAATGCAATAGAGCATGCTTTGTTTTGTGCAATAATTTAAACTATTCAAGAAGCAAATGTGTGTATACCTCACATTTACATGTTTTTAGCTTCTAAAACACATAATTTTTACTTTATGTTGGCCAGTTTTAATCTTCTAATTTTATAGGCAACTGAGTTTATTGTTTTTTTTCTTTATATGTTTTTATTTTGTTGTTCTTATTTACTTGATTATTGTTTATTTCAGGGTTCACGTGGGGACGCTGGACCTACAGGTCCAAAGGGGGGTGACGGTGTCAAGGTAAAGGAGAAGCATGCACAAACACGGTGTTATTATTGTTTAAAGATGTTTGTTTTTTTTTGCATCAGTCCTCATCGTGTTTGCATATACACGACCACTTGACATAAATATATAAAGATAAGCAGATTTTATGTTCTCAGAAATTTTTGAACGACTTGTCCAGTGATACTTAGCAAATACATCTATGGTAGTATTAATATATATATATATGCAAGTACTATAGCCCTTTATATTGTTAATCTATCGTGGTTTTGTATGTTTTCTGACTTTATTTACAATACAATTTACAATTCCTAGTTGTTTTTTTATGATGTGCTTCGGTACTTTGGCTGCATCTGTGTTTTCTGTTTAGGGCTCTTTTGGGGATGAAGGCAAAGAGGGACCTCAGGGAGAAGACGGACTAAAGGTATAGAAAGAAAACCTGAAAGTATGCGTTTCTGTTGGAGTGTGGCTGAATGCTGCTCAGCTGAATGACACGTAAAATGTTTATTATATTTCTGTTGGGCAGCAACGGCCACAGACTTGATTCCATAACTTACCTTGATGAGATAAGTCTTCCTGTTCTCCATAGGACCCTTTATTAACTGTGTTTGGTAAAATAAGATGTTGCACTTCCTTCTGCTGACCAGTAGAGGTCGCTAGAGGTGAAAGCTGCTGGTATCTCTCTGACCACCCTGTCTTCTCTCACAGGGTCAGACGGGGGCACCTGGGTTTCCTGGTGACGTCGGTGAACAAGGCTACAACGTAAGAAAGACCCTCACTCATTACCTCTACTCACTGACATCATCTAAACCCCTGAACTGTCGCTCTGTGCAGGATCGTTCTCGTTTTGGTCCTCCATAGTCTTTCCCATCTCAACATTTAAAAACACCTGGAAAGGTTAAATATTAACCTGGTTTATGGTAGCAAGTAGCTTTGATGTTGAGGTCAAGATCTGTGTGGTATAAAATCTGTGACTCAGTTCTGAACATGTAACATTATGAGCACAGGCAAAGTGTTTTTTCGATGTCCGTCCGTTATATTTTGTATTACAGAAATTATTATAGGTAATGGGAAATCTATTTCTAACCTACAAATATTGATTTTTTTATTCAATAACTGTATTTAAGTGCTGCTGTCATTTCCTTTCATTAGCTTATTTCTACTCTGTGTAGGAGGTGATATCTAATTAGTTATTTTACTTTATTTATCGTTTTCACGGCTCAAATCGTTCCACCACACAGAATTGACGCACAAATATAATTCCACACATCACGCGGGGGACTTTCACTGCTGCTATTTTGACGGCCGTTTTACGTTACATTTCTCCTTTCGTTGTCTTCTCCATTACAGCACACCATGACGTCAGTATTAGCAGCCACGTGACCTTGTTGTTTGTTTTTCAGTTCCTTGTATGAGTTTTGCTCCACATGTTAAAGTAACTTGAAGGCTTTAATAACCAGTCATTTCTTCACAGTTTTTGATTGGCTTTCCATGTTCTTTCACTTTTACACCCAAGTATCGCAGGCTGCACTCCTGAATAAACTGATTGTCCTTCTTGAAATCACTGGTGCAGAGATGTTTTTGTAAGCAGAGTATTTCTTGTTCTCCTTCCTCAGGGCTATCCCGGACAGCCAGGAGCCACCGGACCGAGTGGACCGAAGGTACAAACATACTCCTGGGTTCAACTTTCATTTTTATTCATCGCTGATCGCAGACAGTTTTAGTTTCACAGCGGTGATGACTTTCCAACTGAAATCACTGAACGACAGGAACAAACATGAACGCTGCGACACTAAGTCTGTGAGCAAGTCTGTAAAAGTCCAAATTTCCCAGAAGATGAATCATAGTTTTGGAGGATTTGCTGATCTTAACATTCTCTTGAAAATGTCACAATCATTCCATTATTTATGCTCTCCAGAGGATGAATCATGTTCCACTTTAAACATTTCACAATTTTCCCTCCATTGTGGCCCCCAGAACAAACGGAAAAACAGCCCAATTGTTTAAAGCAACGGCACAGAATCTGAGTATGTCGTGCTTAGATCAGTTAGATAAGAAATTACAAAGAATAATCCCAGTTAGTTACGAATCTCCTCCAAAAGTTGACCAAACAAATAAGGAAAATGAAATTATGTCACTAATTTGGTAACATTATTGAAACCCACAGACATATGCAACTAGTGCTGGTCGGCCCAAAGTATGGTTTGTTTAAATGGATCACAAGTTAAATGGTGCTAAATGAACATTGCAGGCTTTAGGTGGCATAAATGGAGCTTAGAGTGTTAGTTTGCTTCATATGGAAATAGTTAAATTTAAAGGGTATTGATTGTCACAGACATTATCTTCAAAAATCTCCATGAAACTAATAAACAATTCAAAAAATATATATGTTTTGCAAAGTTTAAGGGTCGATGTCTACATGAAAAATCTACAATCTTGAGATGGACGAAGGAAAAGCATGGAAAAATAATTAGTTCCCGTCTTTGCTAGTGTAAAATCAGTCTAATGTTAGCGTATGAAGTGCAGATGAAGAGTCAGGACACTGTTAGCTTAGCAAAGTATGACGATTGGAAACAGCGAGCCCTCTAAAGGTAACAAAATCCACCTACAAGCGCCTCTTACACTCACTAAGTAACGTGCCACATCTCATTCATTATGTCTGTAGATGAACAGGAAAGTCAAATTTGGGATTTTAGGATGTGTAAGTATCCCCTCATCTCAATGTCTGAAGGGAAACAAATAAGGTTATAAACCAATATCTTGAACTAGTCCTTTAATTTTAATTCAGAATTCTGACCTTATGGGCTGCAAGGTAGCTCTGTGGTTAGCACCGTTGCCT